TAGGAGCAGGACGGCTGACGTTTCGGGCCTAGACCCTTCATCAGAAATCGGTCTAGGTCCGAAACGTCAGCCTTCCTGCTCCTATGATGCTGCTTGGCCTGCTGTGTTCATCCAGCTCTACACCTTGTTATCTCAAATTGTTTCAGTTCCAGTTCTGTGCCACACCTACACATTCTGATTTTTGGTATGTTCCTTACAAGCTAATAATTCCTGTTTTGCTTTGATTGAGTCCATATTTCTTGTACTGTATTTTATTGTTCTAAAATGCCCTTCTTTACTTCACACCAGACATTTGCTTACGTTTTTGGTTTCCTTGACAATCTACTTTACAAATCATCATAATTATTGCCAATTACCATTATTGGGTTTTCATGAGCTCTTTGAGTTTTGAGTTATCTTCATCTATGTGATTTTTATTTCCTTGTAATATTTTTCCTTGGCTCTTTTCCTCCTCAACGACCTTCCTAATTGTTCTTAAATGTTTACTGTTTAAATGTTTACAGGTAGGACTTACTAATTCTAAATCCTGCACAGGATCCCACAATATATTCAAAATATTGTATTCCAATTCTAATATGTTATCTGTATCAGCAAATGAGTAACAGATGCATCAAATTACCAGACAAAATTAGATTTGCATTTATTAGTTGTGTATTTGTGTAATTTCCAATTTGTGCTCATTTTGGAATAATCCACATTGAAATATACTAATAATTGAACAATCAATTAAATTAATAGCAGAGACACTGTAATTCACAAATGAAGGAATTGTATGTTGCAATGAGAATGGTGTGAGCAGATTGAAGTTTGATAAATGTTACCCTGCTATTCAGGACAGGAGGGAGACCAATTGCAGGGAACAACAGATCAGTTAGCCTGAAAGTTCTGGAATCAAATATGAAGGGAATCTTAAAAATTAACTTAGCAAATTGTTGCATAATCTTGCAAAGACAGCACCATATTAGGACAGGGAATCATGACAGACAAATATGAGAGCTTTTAGACAATGCAAATACTTGGGTGGATAAGAGGGTACAAGTAAATGTACTATACTTGGATTTACAATTCAATTCTATGAAATGCAGCATAACATTTACTTTTCAAAGTCATCAAACATTGAAGGTCCACCATTATGCCTCTTGCCGGTCCCAACCAAACAACTAATGATAATCGAGCTGACATTCTGCCTCCAGCTTGAGGGTTTGACTTCAGTGTGTGCCCTGGTGAATTGTCATCCTCATTTTTCTTCCCTATCTTCCTTCTTCTCAGATTAGCTAGTCTTGCAGCTTCACTTTTCTTCAGATGTTTAGAATCATCTATTGTTCTGTTGACAATTTACTTCTCTATTATGTAGCCTACATTTTCTAACTTTAAACTCTTAAATGCTCTCTCAACCTTTGAAGACTACATTGTACCTTCCAAGCTTCTTTATAAGGTTTCAATTAGTTCCTCACACTGCATCATAAATCCTTCCTGTTTGTGTAAACAATGAATTATGCTATATTTCTTAACTGCTCACACAATAAAATCTACTTCAGAAACCCAAACGAACTAGATGTCAACTCGGAAGAACAAACTCCTTTCTAAGTATTTTATATCTTAAAACATCATAATTGTGGTAAGTTAACAGAGTAGAATCATAAACAATGAGAATGAAAATGGCTAGATATACATGGTTCTTTTCCACTTGACTATATCTATTCCAGTGCTCAAGGCAGCAAGATGAAAAGAAGAAAGTTTTTGCCTGTTAACAGTCAACACAATGTGCAAATTTGGAGCTGCATTTTCTACACTGCAATAGAAACTACACTTCCAAAGATTTTCCTTTGAGACATCTAGTAGTCTTCTTGGCTGTAGCCATGATATACATGGACACAGTGATTGTGGCATTTGCTAATTACAAACCATTACCATCCGTTGACTAATGGGTCAGTACTCTGCCTGGATGAATATGATATGAAGAAGCATTGACAGCAAGGGCACTGAGGGTTCTGCCTACCCACTGAGGACACACTCTGATTTGTTGTGTAATACAACCACTGTGTTATATGCTGGGGCTAAAATCTAGGAGCAGAATCTTATGGGAGGGATGAGAAGTCCAGTGAGGCTTATCTCAACATCAGGATGACTGGCTGTAACTTTTATGTATTTGTTGAGTGGTAAGGTGTGTTCCTCTTTAGCAACAGTGAGTAGCCAATGAAGGGGGAATTACAGCTTGTTAAATGTCTTATGAATGCTGCAACTTACCTCATTAATATTCAGTTTCCCATCTTAACAAACACATGCAACAAGCTGGACATCGAGAATCTAGAGCAGGTACCTGGCAAATTCAGCTTGGTGTTGGCTCTATCTCGCCTTCATGTTGTTCAGCACCAACCAGCACCTCATTGGCATCAGCCACATGCACTATTAATCCACAGACTTTGCATCCAGTGCCTACCAATCCTTCACAACCATCATGGCACCCCTCTGATCCACTTGTAGGCTGCTTAGGAAGCACAGAATTGAACTGCAGGGTGACCTGGTAACTAGCATTAAATCAATGCTGCAGGGTCACTTTGCATGCAGGACAAGCACCCAGCTCACAGATTGGTCGACACTACCTCACAGCATTTCTCACTTGCTGTTATTACGCTAATTCATTTAGTTGCTACCTGCCTACTACAGTACCCAAGCCTTAACTGTCTTTGTCTTACAAAACCAATTAGCACGATCATATAATCAAGAAACTTGACTTGCTGGTCAGCAATCCTCAGTATTGCAGTGTGCTTTGTCAATCTCGCACTGCCGCTTCCACCACAAGCGCACTGTGTGCACTGAGCAAGAATCCGTGTCTCAAAGTCTTAGGGGAAGTTGTCCTTGCTGAAGTCCATGGAGGCACCCATCACTCAGGGGTTCCCAACACAGTAAGTATTCTTTTTGCGATTCTTTCACAAGATTGTGGGTGTTGCTGGCTAGGCCAGCTTTCAATACCCATTCCTATTTGCCTTGCAGGCAATTAAGAATCAACCACATTGCTGTGGGTTTAGAGTCACATATAGACCAAACCCAGTAAGGGTGGCAGTTTTATTTCCTAAAGGGCATTAGTGAATCAGGGGGGTTTTTCTGGCAATCAACGTGGTTTCTTGGCCATCATTAGGCAATTAATTCCAGATTCGTATTGATTTCAAATTCCTCCACAGCAAATTTGAACCTGGGTCCCCAAAGCATTACCTGGGTCTCTGGATTAATAGTCTAAGAATAATATCACCAAGCCATTCCCTATCTGTCAGGAGCAGTTCCAGTATCAATCCAGGGGATTTCCTATGGTCTTACATTATAGCTGGGGTGATGTCAGTGAGGGGGTCCATGGATGGAGCTCTGCAGTCCAGCGTTCATAGTGAATCCTCTGGCTCCATTATGGCCAGTACGAGGGTTAGGCTAGTGCACTTGGGAGAAGCATAGTCATCAGCTGGGGGTCTGGGCACCCCTCATCTGGGATTGTCCAGTTACATCCCTCAAGAAGATTGGCCACAGTCAATCTGTTGGGCCCATTCACAGAAACTCAGGGAAAAGAGATTGTGGGTGTTAAAAGCAGGCTGTTGCCATAAGGCAGAAACTCGGACACTATTCTTTTGAACTGGAGTCTGTGGGAAAGGGGAGGATGGCAATTGTGAAGGGGCAACTGTATTTGTAAGCAAGGGGTACAATGAAGCATTATTGGGAATGGGGTAATATGGGAGTGTGTGGTGGGGGGTGGTTTCATCCATGGTCAGGATCGCCCTGTCGTCAAAGTGGGGACAGTGTATGACTGCATCATATGCCAGGGACTGGGGCAAAGGTAGGAAGATGCAGGGTCATATAGACAGATTGAGTCTGGGGTGGTATAAAGCAATTGGGGGTTCAGAAGAAAGGGATTTGGATATTTGGGGACTCACTTAGAGGCAGAGGCTGGAAACACTCACTGTCTTGGTAGAAGTTGAAAGTATGCAATGGGAAAGAACATGGTTGTGACCACACCTGGAGTGGATGGAATATGCATCTACACCTGTGAGATACGGACTTACCAAAGTAATGTCCTTTAATGGGAAACAACATTGAACGTAACCCCACGCATTGTGCAAACCTGCAGAGTGTCTATTCCCTGGCAACCCTGATGCATTGGCTCCTTGTGTGCTGCACACTTCCCTTCTCAGACACAACTGATTACCTCATTTATGCCAACACTTTTGGACACAGAGACCATGGAATGAATAGAGATGCAATAGGACAAGGGGCAATGGTGTCAGCTGGGCCAATTGGCCTG